AGACAGTAGCGGGGAAGGGGATGTAAGAGAGAAGAAGGAGAGTGTGTGTGTGGGTGTGCGTGCGCGCGCGTTCGTGCGCGCGTTCTTGTACGTGTGCGTATGTGTTGCGATGCATGCATGCGATTGTTGACAATGCAACAACAATTACTTTTCAACTGATTTCAACTACAAGCTAGGCAAATAAATTAAACGCAATGAAATGAGCACAAAATAATGAATGAAATGAAAAAAGCCCGCATTAAATACAATCCCAAACAAATGCACGCGCAACACAAATCCCTACCTAAATTTATCGAGAAAGCCGACAAAAGCGTACACGCGCGCACGTGTAGCAAAAATTACATTCATCCGCAGAATAGCAACCTGACCCGGTGGTGATGAGGCGGGCAGGGGGAGGAGGCAGGAGGAGGCAACGACCCCCGCTGCGCAGGAGAGGCGGGGCGGGGCGGCAGCGGGCAAACTACAAGACAGCCGAGCGCCGAGCCATTGTTACGTAAGCCGATACGACTTCGTCTGCGAATCTTGTTTGGTTTATGGGATTGTGTTCGGCGCGCACGCGAGGCAAATCCCGGACCGAGCCGCGGGGACGAGGAGAGGGGGAGAGGAGGAGAAGGGGAGAGGGGGAGAAGGAAGGAACACGGGCGGGCATTGTTCGTCTTTTGCGAGCGCACAGCTCTCGTCTGCTAACACATCAGCACACGATACCGTGCAGTAGTGTAGCAACGCCAACACCGACCGTTTGCCTGCCCGTCTGTCCGTACATCTCTCCGTCCATCCGTCTTCCTGTCTCGCTCCTTCTTTTTTCTCACTCTGTCTTTCTCCTTCTCTATGTATTACGCTCTTTTTTTTTCTCCCTGCCCCACGCGCCCCCTCGCTCTCTTTCTTCCTCTCCTTCTCCCCCTCGCTCTCTTTCTTCCTCTCCTTCTCCCCCTCGCTCTCTTTCTTCCTCTCCTTCTCCCCCTCTCTATCCTTCTCCCCCTCTCTCTCACACGCTCTCACCCATTCCCATCTCTCCCCTCCTCTTCCCCTCTCCACATTTCTCACTATATCTCCGTGTGTGTGTTTTACCGCGCGGCACGTCGGCGGCCAGCCACCGTAATCGAATTATCGTATCGCTCATGATATCCCATAAAACAGACAACTGCAAACAAATCCACTCTCGCCCGCGCGCCTTATAAGGAGATACGCGCGCGCCTTATAAGGAGATACGCGCGCGCAGCAGCAGACGACTCTTGCTTCGTGTGCACGTAGACTATGCGATCTCCCAAAATATACTAATCCCTTTTATTGAAAAATACACATAGTTCGGTTCGCATATATAGGCTTTAACTTCGTGTCGACGGCAGACGAAAGAAATCCTCGCTATTTGTCGAAGAATCGAAGGGGGAAATAATTTTTTAATAATAAATAAGGGAAGATTTTTTCCAAGTCGCTGTTGATGGTGATCGAGTCGGACGTTCAACGTTGTAGAAATGTAATTACGAGTCATTAATTCTCGGCACGGCGAAACTTGCGGCGCTCAGCGGAGATATACGATCGAGAAACAGTGTAGCGGTTATGCGGTAAACATGTGCGAATAATAAAATATGTATAAACCGTAGTGGCAAGATAAAGAAAGAGAGGGAGAGTGAGAGAGATGGATAGATAGATAGAGAGAGATGGGGGGGAGGAAGAGTGAGAGAGATAGATAGATAGATAGAGAAGATAGAGAGAGAGAGAGAGAGAGAGGAAGCGAGAGCATAGGGAGGGAGGATCGGAGGGATGCAGAGAGAGAGAGAGGGACAGAGAAAGAAAGAAAGACATGTGAGAGATCTTTCAGATGTTCATATGTCCTCGCGGACTAAAGTATGCCTGCGCGCGTCAGTGAATCGCTATGCATTAGCTCTTATTCATTTTCCCCAGGTGAAAAGAAGAAAGAACAAGGCTGTGCGGCATGGTCAAGAGGCACAGACATCACAACACACTTCACTACGAGAGAAGCAACAGAGAAACCACATCAAAACAGAACTCGAACTCGTATAAAAATCCAATCGCCATATATCTTTACTTCGGCAAGTTCGCAACACACACCGGGTAATGACCGCATGAATCGAAGACCACGTACGTACGCGTATGATAGACTCAAGAGCATATAAAGCGTATATATATATATATATCATATTATACCCTTCTTTATATGCTCTTGATAGCATATATGCAGTCATGTGAAGGGACAAGCAGACAGACTGTTGTTGAATGCACGGAAGAGCCCGCATATGGCGAGATGAGTTCATTTCCTCTACCTCTCCCATTACGATTGAGGAGAGTGGATTATATATATATATATATATATATATATTATAGAGAGAGAGACGAGAGAGAGAGGAGAGAGAGAGAGAGAGAGAGATCTGTATTACTTGTTCTTCGTGTCGGCCTGCGACAATGTTGCTGTCAGATGTTTTTTTCGCGAGCGCGCAGCAGCTGATATCCCCATCCGTTACGCCGTTACGACATTAACGACTCCATCTTCCCCGCATTACGACTCCGCGGTGCACTCAGCACGGACGTGTCTCCCCCTCCTCCTCCTCCTCTCTTCCCTCACTTACTCTCCCTCCCCGCTGCCCGTCCGCCCTCACGCGTCACCTCGTGTTCACTTCCCGCTATTTAAATTCTCGCGTATGCTTCACAACGCAGCGGACCGAGGACTTACGCCGCCGATGCAATCAGATATAGGCGTCAGCGACATCGACAGCTGCTCACTTGTCAATGGAGCGCCACCTGGCGGGAACCTCGGTCGCCGCAGTCCCACAAAACAAGATTACCTCCGCCATTCGCAGTAAACAAAATTTTGCAGTTTCATTATTCCGATAGACAATATTTCAACGCGGCAGGATGTTAGTTGGGGAGCTGCATGCTTGCTGCTTGCGGCCAGTGCGTCTATGGTCTTCTTGGTCCCAGCATGTCCAGTGTGTCCAAACGCTGCGTTCTTGCGGCCATGGGCCATGCGTATCCGTTTTTCATACAGCCAGGTCTCCACACAGGAAATATATATATATATATATATATATATAGTACAGGTCTCTGTTACACGTGTATTTGTACAGATGAGCAGAGAGAGATTGCTTGTATCCAGTTTCCATGGTTTCCACGATTTCCACGGCGCAGCATCCTCACGCGACAACTACGTGATCCAACATAAACTGTAGATAGGCGGTCTGGTGGAGAACCCTCGGCACCTTGACCTGCACGCGGGAAAGAAACAAAAGAACATCACACGGACTCGCCGCATTGACTTAGCTGGACAGCTGCTGACATCCAAACTCACTCGACAAAAATTTCCTACATAAAAAATCGCTTGAAAGTGAATGTGTGTGTGTGATGATAGCTCACAGAAAAGTTTTCCTCCAAATTTTTTTTCTCTGACAAAAACTATTGCTTGATAGATCGTTAAAAGAGGCATATCCTCCATGGAATGATCATACATGGAATGATCATGGAATCCTCCATGGAATGATCATACAAATTATGAGGTGGTTTGCATGTCATGAGCATAAGTTTAGGCAACACGAACGAACAAAAAGCCTAACCATAGGTACATGAATCTTAGCCTAACCACAGACACTCGCTAACCATAAACACCCACTAAACTAAACCAAAGTTACCTACTAAACTAACTCACAAACACTCACTAAACTAAACCACAGTGACCCACAAAACTAACCCACAGACACCCACTAAACTAAACCACAGTGACCCACAAAACTGACTCGCAAACCAGGGCCGTAGGCTGAGCAAATTTCTAGGGGGGCCAGGATTTCAATGAGTGGGTGAGAAACAGGTGGGGGGTCTGGGGTCCTCCCACAGAAAGTTTTGAAAATGTAGATCGCAGGAGATGGTATTTGAGGCACTTTTGAGTACATCTACAGCCTTCATTCTGACTACGACAATTCTCTTTTAGTAGAACTTTTTATCTTTTTTTTGCTCCAAAATCTAGGGGGCAGCTGCCCCCCCCCCGCAAGCTACGGCCCTGCAAACACCCACTAAACTAAACCAGTTACCTACTGAACTAACTCACAAACCCTCACTAATCTAAACTACAATGACCCACCAAACTAACTCACAGATCTATACCCAGCAACCCCTAACCACATTACTAAACCCTACAACACAGCCGACAGAGTGCCATCTAGTAGCGGACGACCCACCTGGTTGGCCGACGCCTGGGTGCTGGTGAGCAGGAGGCTGCGGAACTCGTGGAAGCTGCCTGGCTTCACGATGCTTATCGACATCGGACCGATGCTGCCCTTGCTGCGGTATGACTCGTAGACGTATGACGTCGTACGCAGCATGTCGTCCAGCTGTTAGCGAGAGCAAGAGGACAGATCACACACCACGTGTGATACACATGCAGAGGATGGACGGATAGAGGGATGCGTGAAGGGATGGATGGACGGATGGGTGCGTAGGTGGATGGATGGATGGATGGATGGATGAGTAGATGTACGTATGGATGAATGGGCACAGATGGAAGTGTGAACAGATAGATAGATAGATGAATGGATGAAAAGATGGATAGATGAATGGATGAAAGGATGGATAGATGACTGTATGAATTGGTGTATGGAC